GCCTCTGTGCCCCAGCTGGTGCCGCTGCCCAGCGCTGGCAGCCCACTTGCCCAACCATCACAGCATCCTTCCCTTCAAACGGGTGTCAGCCTGCATTCCAGCACTGCAAACCACAAAGTGTTTTTTTTAGTGCACTTCATTGCTGGGGAAGCCCAGAGGAGAAGCAAGGTGGCGGAGCTGCAGCATTTTCTTCAGTTTTTATAGTTAGTGTTGTACAATTCAGATTTAGGGGGTTTATTTGGTGATGCAAGTGTGGCATGAAGCCAAGACATCGTTGTTTTTTTTTTCTGCTTGTGGGGTTTGCTGACTAGCAGCAGCATTACCATGGATCCCTCAGGAGGAGTTCTGGATAGTTCTACCCTCACGAATTTTCCTTTACCAGGTAGCTGAAAAAAACCAAACCTCTACAGATGCGGTTCATTGGAGGTTGGCAAAATCAGGTTGCAGGGTATTTATTATTCTTTTGAGATGTGGCTGTGAAAAGCAGCACGCAAACCACTAGGATGATTCAGATCAACAGTGTGCTGAGAATCAACAGTTGCGTCAGTCACAGCCACTGTGTGACTAAAGGAGTAAGGAGCAAAACCACAGCAGCCTTCATGCTTCGTATTACACAGGGCAGCTCTTGGGTCAAGTGTGAAAGGAGAAAAAATATTGATGTTGCCTTGCTGACATGTCTTAGGGAGTGTCAGCATCTAGTTTATAAACTATTTAGTACAGCTATCAGGTGACAATTGATGGGGTAAGCACACAGGGGAGGGGACTGGTGGCAGTCTTAGCAGGGTAAAAATCCATCTTTGCCAGGCTGCAGCTGATGCCAGACACACTTAAACTGGTTTTAACCAATCAAGGAAGATTCAGAGCTGATGTTGGTTATTTAAAATTTTATTTGCCTCTAATTTACTCTCATAAAAACACTCTAGTCTATTTGGTGTTAGTATTCAGACAGTACAGACTGCTGATATTATCAAGAGTGATATTAGAGAAGCAGTACAAACCAATCTACCTTAGCATGTAACCGAGCACAGGTGGAACTAAAACCACCTCCACTTGTAGAAACTAATTAGCCTGCTTTCTTAGGCTTTATAGTTAAAATACAATACTCAGTAAATAGTTACAGTCACCAAACCATATAAATAAAACCTAACATGGTAAAACGGGAGCAGCTGAATGTGCAAGAGTCAGAGTAAAAATATGTAGATAGGTATTTTGCAAATCAGAGCAATCACCAGTTACTGCATCTACGTTGTCACTGTCTCTTAGAGGGGTGAGTTTTCATTGCCAGTTAAAGTTCATCGCTTTCATACAGTCCAGACTGCTCAGCCAAACGCTGGAACTCCCCCTCTGGTGAGAAAGCTTGTTTCACATCCAGTCCTCTGCCATTGAGTGCCAAGTACTTGCTGAAAGTTGGTCGAACTCGTAACTGCTTTGGGGCTGGAAGTGGCTTGTTTGCATGTGCTGGAAGAGAGAAAAAAGCCTCTTTCAGTGGCTTCCCATGTGGAAGGACCCATGGTATAGCAACCCTGCTGCTTTTTATCTGCAACATAAACCAAACTCTGAGGGAGAATTTAACAGACAAGCCCATATCTCAGACACCAGATTTGTATTCGCCCTCCTCCTTGGTCTAAACAAAATCAGTCTCTGAACAGTGCAGAGAGCAGATGCAGACAATGTGCAAAGCACACACCAGCGTCTTGGCACTGAACAAAGGAGTTTCTCCTGGGAGAGCTACTTCTTGTCTACTTCAGTACCTTTGGAAGGAAATCCTCCCAGCAGTCAAAGCCTCATTAAGCTAATCCCTAGGGTCTGCTCTGAACCCAAGTGCCAGCTGTGGTACTTACTTGCCACCTCCAGCCTGGCGTGGCAGGTGGCCACGCCCGCCCCGTTGACAGCAGACACCGTGTACCACCCAGCATCCTTCTTGTTTGCATTGTGAATCAGGAGGCAAATCCTGCCAGTGTTGTCATGTAGCAAGCTGGAAAAGGAAGGTGTTTACGTGTAAGCGCTTGGAGGAGGGAGGAGACATTGAAATCAGAGTCTGTTTACATGCTGAGGAGCTGAGAAAGCCCTACAACAATTCCTGCAGACCACTTGGCCATGAACAGAGCCACCAGCAATTCACATCGTGATGCCATTCAGGGGTGTCAAGGCCCTTCTGTAGCCCCACAGCCTCAGAGCACGACGAAGGCAGTGTCCCAGCCCTAAAGCCATGCTTCTCCAGGGGGGCAGGGTATTCAGAGGGGCATCTGGTCACAGTGCCCTCAAGGCTGTGAGCATTGTGCCTGCCCAGCACACGGGCCTGACCACCACCTATCGTAACCGAGGGGCTGATCCAGCTTTCAGCTCGCTGCTTTTAGAAACCTGGCAATTCAAAGGGGACTTGACAAATAGTGGGGGTTGTTCTGTAACACAGCAAAGGCCAGCTCAGCAGTAGGATACCTTATTCGGTCTGTATTATATTGTACCATTTCGTTGTTTCTTTTCCAGTAAATGCGGGGTGTGGGGATGGCAGAGATCTGGCACTCGAGTCTGGCTGTATCTCCTTCAAAAACCTTTTTGCTTTGTGGCTTGAAGATGAAAGTTGGAGGCGTGTGATGTTCTTTTGCTAAATTAAAGAGGAAAGATAAGAAGGAGTTACCTAAGTATTGAGGGCTAATATCTCTGGGTCTTTTAAGATTTCAGAATGCTAAATTCAAGAGGACACATGTTCCTTACTGCAGCTTCTTAGCCTACAGGCAATTCCCCTGAGCATAAGGGTGTAGCAGAGACAATCCACTTTGAGAGTCAGTCAGCATATGCTATCAATCCTGGGAAATTAATAACTCCCAAATTCCAGACATCCCACTACATCTAAATATCTTGCTAGAAGTGCTTTGAAGAACTATGGCATCCCAGGCATGTGTTAAAACAGTCTTGGGAAAGGTAAGGTGTTTGTTATCCCTTGTGCTCAACTGTCTGAAGATCTACCTCTGCTTCTTCATTGTTTTATGTCCAAAACACACAGAGGAAGGCATTAGACTACCAGGTGACTATCAGTGCTCTCAGTCTTACCAATTACTTCCACTTTGACTGCAAAAGAGGCTTCTCCTGCACGGTTGACAGCCACACATTCGTATGTCCCTGCATCAGATGACTTGACTGCTTCAAAAATGAATGAGTGGAATCCCTTCTCTGACACTATCATTTTATGGAACTGATCTTGATGAACCATCCTTCCATTCTGATACCACATCACATCTGGAGTCGGCAGCCCGCTGACCTGTGAAGGAGAGGTAAGCAGTGAAGTTAAACAGTTTTAGAATGACAAAAGCCCTTCAATGCTGGAGGTAGTTTGATGCCAATAGATGATCACATCATGATCCTACTGCAAAATTTTAGAGTCTTGCCTAGTTTTGAATATAAATGTGGTGCTGCACAGAGAGGAAGGCTTGTGAAGTGCTGTGGAAAGATGAGCTTCAGTTACAAGACAGCAGATGCTGTTTCTACAACCCTTTCTTGTCCCCCTCTTGCAAAGTAGTTTTGATTACACCAAAGATACTCATTGTGGGCTCACAGAGGGGGGAACTCCCCCTGTTAATCCCCCAGCTAGTGCTGTCAGCAGTGCTGACATCCATACTGGTTTGGTAACATCTGTAAATAAACTGTCCTGCAGATGGGCTTCAGGTTGTCCACAACATTCAGAAGTCAAATGATTTACAGTAAAATGGCAAAAGGTCACACCCAAGTCTGGCAAGAGTTTACTTAAGGAAGGAGATTGGAAGTGGGAAACAGCACACCAAACCCCAGTCAGCAAACCCCCTTTGTGGTGGAGCTGCACGTGCAGAAGGCCTAGGTCCTCTCTCACCCTAGAGCTGGTACAATTGCCATGTGCAGTTTCAAACCATTCTGGTGTTTTGTTTGTTTTTAATTAGTACATTTCCTTGCCAGATTGCCTGGTCCAGCCAAGGGCACAGTTTCCTCAGAGAGGATTCAATGAAAGGCAGGCTAGTCCTAAACAGGCCCTGCTGGACATGCATCCAGAGTGTCTGCTGAAGTCACTGGAGTCCCACTGCAAAGCACAAGGTTCCCTCCCAGAGCACCTTCTTTCAGTAGGACCTTAATATTCATTCTTCCCACTGAGGTCTAAAAGGTATTCTGCAGTCGTCCATATTTACCACTATTTAGCTTTAACCTTATTAAGTAGTTAATTGCATGTTTCAAGGGAAAATGCAGAAACATTTGGTCATCTGTTTCTTGGTTTACGTTGCCTGGAGAGACCCTGCTCCATCTGCCATTAGTGCTCAGGCTTGTTGAACTGCTCAGAGACCCCTCCCCATGCCACACCCCCCCAAGTTAATGCAATGGAAGTGAAATGCTGGTATTACTTTGAAGTCGAGCCTGCAGAATCTCCCCTCCTCAATAATTACATCTTCAGGCACTTGTGTAAAACGTGGTGGAAAAAACTTCTCCTGGATTGAGTCATGGCCACGTTCATCTCCTCTTGAGGATGGTCTGCTCCTAAAAAGTCAGCAGAAACAGTTAATTCTGTAAAAGTGATAAATGATGTTGAAGCACCAATTGCAGCTAGAGGCCCTCCACAGGTTTAGGAATCCAGTGCTACTGTTCTGGTTTGTTTTTCAGCTGTAACACATGGGTTTGGATCAACCACTGCTCCTGCTCAGGTTCTTCAATTCAACACAGAAGTGTAACATATGAAACCTTCATCTTTGGCCCAATATCCAGAAGAATTTACAAGAGCAATGCAGGCTGTGTTTCATCACATACATTGTCAGACCTTGCTTTGGCTAGGGGTGAAGCTTCTAGAAGATGAAGAGTATTTTCCCCAGGTACATGGTCTTTCAGCCTCTCACGTTATGCTCAGAACTGGCAGCATCAGCTTCCCACAAATGGCAGCGTTTTAGTTGAAAGGAAGTGAATGCATTTAGTAATTTCTACTTCAGAAGAAGTGGTAGGTGGTGAAGTAAAACTACCATTGTCCAGAAACATTTGAAATAAGGTTTTGAAGAGCAGCACAGCAGGAGAAGTTTATGCCTCACCTGACATGCGTTGTAGGAACCTGCAGCCTGACATGTTCTGCATTCTGGTGCTTGGAAAGAGAAAGAGGAGAGGTGAGTTAGCTTTGGAAGTTATAGCTATAAACTGACCAAGAAGCCCTTTAAGTTTGTATACTGACTGCTGCTTAACAGTGAAGTGAATACTCCAGAAGTCCCTGGGACAAGAGGTAAAGGAACCTGCACCAGGAGCTAATACACTGTTTTCACCCTAGGCTTTGCCAGGACAGTAACAAGTACCATTAATAGAGTGGCACAACTTCCCCTGCTTCTGCACAGGTGATAGGTGCAGCAGTTTTGTTTGGCACACAAGGCTTTTGGCCAGCCAATAACCTTTGTTAGAGGGGAGCAGTACTACTGGCAGTATCTAAAATGGGAGCCAAGTACAGAGTGTCCTTCCCTACAGCAGGAATAGAAGTGGAATCGCTGGCAAGAACACTGTATTGTGCCCACTTAAATAGGGACCCACAGCAGTGGACACATGCTGAGCTGGAAAATACTTTTCTTTCTAGATCACAGCACCAACTAAGCTCTCTGACAGCACCACAATCACATGAGTAAATCTGCTAAAGTACCCAGGATCGATTCCTGCTCGGAACTTGGATGTTTGGAAAACACAAGCAGAGTTTGTTACCAGTGACTCATTTCAGCACTGGAGTCAGACAGAGAAAACTCTGCGTGGAAATTTCCGGGGTGTCTGCACTGAGCCACTGCACAGCTCGGTTCTGTGCTCCAAGCCTGGGTTTAAACTTCAAGCACAGGAGCAGCCTTCACCTCAGGGGAAGCACTGCATGAATGAGGGTTTTGCTGGACTGAGCTCAGTGCTCAGTCCAAAGGCATTTGCTTCTATCTGCTCATTTACACAAGTTCTGTACAATTATTACCCATCTTGTGAGATGCTGTAGTGATGAAGCTGCTGATAGGTCTAATGCTCTACTATATGCACTGACTGCACAGTTAAGTTCCTGAGGAGTCAGGAGGCTGAATGAACCAGAGACTACAATATTTGAAAATGACTGAACAATGGGAGTAAGATCTCCCCAGCATAAGCAAATTTCTCCTTCTAATGCTCTTTTTTATGCAGCATTCCACACACCTTGTAAAGTTGTCACTCATCCTGTTTTTGACTATTCCCTTACTCTCTGCAGAAGGTGAGGCTTCCCTTGCTCTCTGACACCCACAATGTTCCCTTCTTGCCTGCTCCTGTCAGGTGACTGCTGGAGAGACAGCTCAAACTGCATGTTCCTCCCTGGCTGTGCTCTTAAGTGTCTCTTGTGTGGAAGAGCTTTGCTAACTGCACTTTGGAAGGTGTGGGCCAGCCTGCTGGCTCTGGTGTGTGTGCAGCAGGAGGGACATTTTCCTGTGGCACCAGGTACTTGTGTAGCCAATCACAGACACTGCTGCTGCCTTTGACCACAGCAGTGCCAGAGAGAGCTTTCAGCTGGCCTGAACAACCAACGAATGATGCAAGTCTCCAGCTAAAATGCTTTTGAAAATGCCAATAGTGATAGATTCTTGTCTGTCAACATGTGGGCTGCTGAAATAACTGCTTTGCCTTCTCTTAACAGTTGCAGGCTCCTGGAAGGGCTAAAACCCAACTGATCCCAGCCCGAGGCTCTGATCTCTTGTAGTCAATGTCGCTTATTCCAAAGAGTGACAGGTGTCAATCTTGCTGTCTGGGCCAAGTCTGAACTTGGGCTGTTAGAGAGCAGGTACCTGCACCCCTGCTGTGCTGCTCCCTGCCTGTCCCAGGCAGGGTGTAATGTGCTGGGCAGCAGCTGCTGTAATTCCTCCCTGGAGAGGTCATTTCTCCAAATCAGGCCCAGCAAGGGGACGGTGCTTAAATTCCCTCCCTCTGCCATCACCCCCCCAAGAAAAAACCCAAATCCCTACTATACAGAGCTCTGCCAGTAAAAGCTGTCCCCTTCTCTCCCCGGCACTGGTACCAAATAAACCCCATCTCTGCCCCGTTCAGGTACAAGCAGGTCCCAGCACAATCCCCAGGAAATCCCCATTCCAGAGGCAGGTCCCCACCTACCTGTGCATTTTGCATGTTGTCTTCACTCTGTGGTTCCAGCACAGAGGCAGCATTCACTGGTCCGAGCAGCCTGCGAGCCATCCTCTCTTCATAGGTCAGTCGCTTAAAGCAGAGCACAGGGAAAGTTCTAGTCAGAAGTCCATTTACTATTTCTGATCAGTTCTGAGCACAGGAATATGCCACCAATTCAGGGTGTGGTTGATGAAAGCAGTGGGTGAACAGAACCTCCAGGTCTGTTCCAGAGGGTTTGCAGTCTGTGACGCCTACTGAAGTCAGCCTCAATATATACAGCACTGAAATGCATCGAAGATTAAACGGTCTGTTCATCAAAGCCTCCCTCATGCCATCTGTGGCCTTCCACTCCTCCTCTTTCTCTGCTGGGATTATTTATGGGTAAGTGATGGCATTATTTCAGAAGCCAGAGTAAGTCCCAGGGTACCTTTCTTTTAGCACTGGGAAAACTTCCCGAGTTATTCAGCTGTGGATTTACTTCAGGAGCTAAGGGCATGATGGGTGCTACTGTCCACTGCTCCTAAAAAAGCACGAGCCACACCAGAAGCAGATGCAGCCAGAGATGAGCACCACTACCCCTGAAAGCACAAGGGAAGTTTCTGCCAGCACAATGGTCACCTTCTGAAATGCTGTTGGCTGTCTTGAGAGGAGGCAAGAAGGTGTTTCAGTCACGTAAGAGTTAAGTTCCTACAATAGGTATGCAGCACATGGGGGTAAACGTGAGCAGAGTTAAATTCAAGTTCTGTCTGGGTTACTTTAGAAGAGTACATTAGTCCCCTGAGCAGCAGAACACCTGATGCTTCACCTCCCACAAAGTTTACCTTGGGTTTGGGTTTTGTGTTGTGAGGACAAGCTCTGACTGAGCTTCCACTGTGAATGGGACATGTGGCTGCTCCTGGCATGTGGAGGGTTTAGGAAGGCCTCTGGGACTTTTCTTTAGAAGAGAGTGAAAGACCTTTTGGAAAACCTGTGGGAGCTCAATATCCCCGAGGTCGTTCCAGCTGTATCACGTGTGGCTGAGATTGGCCAGTTGGTTCAGACACTGCTGGAGGACAAGGGGAGGAGGACACAGTGGTGATTGCATAAGCCTTATTTTTAGCCTGGCTTCCTATGGGAAGAAGAGCTGGCTTGCACTGGCAAGCTTTCTTACAGCAGACAGGACATTCCTGTCAGGGACACGTTAAGTCATATTTGACCTAATACTTTCCTTCAATATTTAAAATTTCATCTATGACACAAACCTGTTCCCACTGATGGTGATGGAAGAACTCCTTTCTACTTCAGGGGAAAGAAGATGGACACTATAAACACCAACCTTCCACCACTCTGCTTCCAGCCAGCAGGAAGTTTCCCACCTTAGAGACCTGGTCACTCTAGCTTGCTGTAATGGGCTTTCCTACTGGATAGGCTAAGTTTTCTTCCCAGATTTTGATTTCTTGGTAAAGGGGACTGCATTTTGTCCCTTTGCAGAATAACTAAGTAGGTATTGAGACTGAGAAACCTTCTTATAGGAGACAGACTTCAGGATAAAAGCTCATGTAATTTCTTTGAAAGAAATGGAAGATGTTTACCACATGTGGGTATGGTCTCTAGAATGACCTTTCACAGAGTGGTACCTCTCCAAGTTTCAAATGATGTGGGGTGGTTTATCAACCCCAGTGTTGAAAGCCACAGTGAAATCATGTCTGGAGAACTGAGGGATTCTCCTTGGGTTTCTAGTTGTCTGTGGATGGGACATACAAAGAGTTCAAGTTTGTGCCACAGGCCTAAACATGCAGCTCTCTCCCAACCCTAGCCTTATTAATTTGCTTGCACAAATTCAAAGACAGCTTGAATGGTGCATGCTGGCCAGGAAGGTCAGATAAGAGGGAGAGGCAAGAGCAGCTCAAAGCCAAATGCTGCATCAGATGGTTTTCAGAATTCAATGCATCCCTTCCTGAAGTAGGAGGAGATGCAGACATTCAGTTGCCACAGTAAGATGCCTGCAGACAGACTTACAGCAACCATCTCTCTTGCCACACATTCAGGCCAGCTTTCACTGTGCACCAGCCATGTGCTGCTCCTCTAGTGGGTGAGCCTTCTCAGGGCTGAGCTGAACCTGGCCCTCCAGTACAGCATCCTAACAGCAAAAATAACTGTGAAGGTGTTGGAAAAAAAAAGAGGTTGGCTTTCACCTTACACTGAAAGACTATTCTGATCACAAATAGCTCAAAGAACTCTTGCTAGGATCTGAGCTTCTGAGTAACAGTGTTTGGGCAGTGTTGCTTCTGCATTTCTTTCTGCTTTCAGCTCAGTTTGGAGGCTCCAGCCCCTGGGGCACTGAACTAGCCTCTGCATCCCTGCTTGAACTACCAAGAGTCAGGGCAAACTGGTTCTTTGCTCAGCAGGTTGCCCTTACCTGGTTGCCATTCTGGAGGAGGTTGTCCTTGCATCGCAGTTTCTTTTCCAGGTCCTGAATCAGGGCCTCTTTTGTTCCTCGGATTTCTTGGTCTGATGTCTTCTGCATAGAGTTGATGCTAGCTTGTTTGTTATACATTGGTTGTGAGTACCTGCTCATGCAGGAAGAGAAATCAAAGTTACTCCTGTAGGCCTGCTTGACTCTTTGCTACAGCTTCATAGAGCACACACAAAAATGTGAACCTGTTACCTAGAAACTGTGGTTCAAACGAGCCCATGAAGCATCTGGGAGATAGACAGGCCAAGTTCCATCACTGAGTAGCAAAACTTAAGGGGAAGCATCGTGGTCATTGGGTGTCCTGCAGCAGTTTGCTGTGGGTGACTGCTCAGCACCCCTGCACCCTGCAGTGGCTCCTCCCTGACTGGGATGTGTGCAGTAAGACTGGCAGTGTTTGAGGGAGCCACTAACTCCCCTGAGCAATGTGAGTCTGTCCAGGAGCAAGCTCTCCCTCAAAACCTGCACTCCTTTACAATTTTAATTGTTGAAAAGGCTCTGGGTGCTGCAAATCCACTGCAAGGTCACAAACTAGTTCATTAGGTATGAACAAATAGCTTATCAGTTGTCTTCTTGACTCCCAGAAGCTGCTTCACACAGTATTTCTGTCCAGATGTTCCATAGCCAAGCTTACCCCAAGCTAGGCTGGGTCTTTAGGACCCCTGCTGCAGCCTCCCACATAGCCTGATCCTGCAATCCATAGTCAAGCTCAATCAAATCCTGGAGTTAGATAGTAAATGATTCTGAAAGCTGCTGGGAAAAGAGGACGAGCATCCCACAAAACAGGTTGTGAAGGTCTCCTAGGGGTCAGAGCACTCTGTGCTGGCAGGATCTAACCTGGGTCACTACATGCAGTGGGGCCTCATATGCTGCAGTTGTACTCAGCAAGTATTTCTATTTAAAATCCTCTTCCTCCTGTCCCTTGAGAATTTGTTCCATTGATTCTGATAATTCAGGGTGGAAGGGTTATAATTCTGGCACACATTCCCAGAACTGCTTGGGCTTAATAACTTGCTCAGGTTATAACTTAAAAGTTTTTAATAACTTGCCCAACAGATGAATATATCTCATGTCCCTATTTGCCCGTTTGTAGGACAATTAGGAAAATAATTCAAGTCACAGGACGTTGCATTTAAGAGAGCTTATCTGAAAAGCATAGTGAGGCACCAAAGCCCTGTGCTATGGAAACAGCTGACCCCACACTACACACACAAACCCCAGTGGTTACTCCAGATGTGTCCACAGCCTCCCCACACTCCTGCATGGCCCAGCTAGCCCACTCCCACCTTACCTTGCCATTTCCCCTGTGCTGCGAATCAAAAGAAACCCTGAAACATTCAGATTTCCTGAATACAAACTGATGCTCAGACCCGAATTTAGATGCAGGCCAGCAGGACCCTCCTCTGCCCCATCACCTTGCTAATAACCTCGTTTGAGTACTTGGCCCATTTTCTGCACTGACTTTCCACAGGACCTCCAGCTACTGTTGGCAGGAGTACAAGTTGGTGAGAAGGCAAGACCCAGCTCCCTTTGAGATCTCACTGACCTTGGGAGATATTGGATTGCAGCCCAAAGGCAAAATGATATAATACATATTTAGGAAAGAATTTAGTCTTTGGTCTGAAGGGGTAAAATTTTCAAGTGTCTGCTTTTCTGTTAGCACCTATGATTAATGAAAACTATTGTAGGTGAGCACAGAATCCCATCAGGATGTGGAAACTGAAAATACTGCTGAGACTTGCTAGAAATCCTGAAGTCATTTATAGGTGGGAAATGCTACTGCCTTCTCCCTGCCACCCAATTCATAAGCTATGCTTGTGGAGAGAAATTCACGAGATGGGTGTCCATCTCCTGTTCTGAATCCCCTTCACTAAAAGATTCCCATCAAATCAAAGTAAACTGTTCAAACTGAGTCCAGAAATCCTGCAGAGCAGCCTGTGGCATGACTGCCGTGCGGGAACTCCTGGTGGATCCTCATCTCTCCCACACGGACACCAAGGGCAAGCGCTCAGCCTCCTAACCCGGCTCATGCAGAGTCCTGCCCCAGACATCAGAGGTCAAAGGGGAGCTGTGCCCACCAGCCCAGGGGTGTTTCACTGCACCTTGGGGTTTGGGGTGGCGAGTGCACGGGAGAGGCCAGGCTGGAGGAAAGCAAGCGGAGGTTAGAAGCCTGCGCGTACTTACGGGGGCTCCATGGGAGAAGGAGTTTGGCTGTTACAGTCGGGCTGCGAGGGCAGGACTGAGCAGAGGAATGCTGCAGGGGGCTGGTTAGGCAGGGGGATAAGCCTCTGGCCAGAGGATGAGCTGGCAGGAGACTGCGCAGACGCCGGCGTGACGGGATACGTGGATTCCTTGGGGGCACTGCAGGAGGGCGAGGAGAGCGTGACCGAAGAGCTCAGCGATGACGAGGAGGAGAATTTCTGCCCGCTGGGGTTACGAGGCTGTATGAGGATGGAGGACTGTTTGATTGGTCTGCTTGACTCTGTAGAGGCTGCGGGTCCTGGAGGCTGCTGTTGCCCTTGACACACATTCTTAGACTGGATAAAGTGTTTTGGACGTTCGTAGTTAAACATGGTTGGTTGGCACATAGAGGAAACGGATGGGAGATTAGGGACACTCATGGGAGAGGTTTCACGGCTGTCCTGGGTTTTGGTTGGTGATGATAACTGGCTTTGGATAGGTGGCTGGTAAAAACTAGGTGGTAGGCCACGAAAGCTTTCTTGGCTGGGCTCCTGGATAGAGTGGAACCCTGGCCTTGCAGGATAGAGGCTTTCTTGGTGTGGATTTTCCCTTAAAGAAGACAATACAGATAAAATAGATTGTATATCACCATTTGAGTCACAAAAATACTGTGTCGTGAGCAGTCATTAGCAAACCAAGGAGTATGAAGTTCACGCACTTGACAACTAAAGCTTGAGCTTAAAATAAAGAGATTTAGGATTGATTAGAACTGTTGCAGAACTGTATGAACAGAACAAATAACTAACAAGTCACACAGTCTATTGGACTCGGGGGCAGCACCCACCACAGCTGTCTTCTCTGCAAGAGCTCAGTAAATTCTAAAAGAAATAGCAATTGGTTTATTTGGACCACTCACCACCTGCATAGCTCTACAGATAACTGTAGGTACTACTGCTAAGCAAGGTAATTTGCCACTTAATGTCCTCTTAACTAGAGATCTCTGGATCCCGCAGTTTTGTGCCCTGTCAAAATACTCCATGTACTCGGAGAACTAGCTATTGGTGCCCAGAAATTCCTTACATCATAGGGAAGCATGAAACAGGTTCTGCTTTCTGGTAAGTGTACAACTAAAGCTTTGAAACCAAGTATCCTGGTTTGTTCTCTAATGGCTTTTGAATTCAGAGCTTTTTATATCCAGCTGAGACTTGGGATTGGAACACCAAGCACTGTGCTTCTCCACTTGATTTCCTGAGATTTGCTGTTTGGGCTAGTAATTGCCAGAACGACATAGCTGTAGGATAAAGTAGGGACAGGCAAGCTCCTCAGAGGTCCTGCATTTATTTTGGAGCTCCATGATATCTAAACCCGGGCTTTCCATCAACTCAAAACCCAGAAAAGTTTCATTAGAGTGAACCGTGCAAGTTTGTTAAAACTGACAACTTCAGCTCCAGGATAAATAAACCCCCTAAAATAAACATAAAGCTACTAATAAAAAATGAGAATATGAATCCACACAGTTACATGCACTGGAAAAAATTGTCATCTTGCCCTACTGAGATCAGCTGTTTTGCTGCTATATATACACACTATATTGTATTCCTCCCATCGGAGAGCCCGAAAAAGGGCTCCAGGAGGTCATAAATTCCCATGGGGGGAGAATCAAGACATTAGTCTCGTTTTAAAGATTCAAAGCTTCCATTTCCTAAAGGCAATTATCAATATTAGTTGTAAATTAACTGTGTGTAAACAGAGGTTTTCTAGGAAAAATTCCCTAACTTCCCCCTCTGTCACACTGGTGGAATTTGAAGCTGGCATAAACTCTTGGAGCATGCCCACACTATGTCCTCATTCAGTGGTGCAGGAAGCTCATCGTATCTTGGTTTTATACCATTTTTATATCACAGCCTGTGTAGGGATTGGCTCCTTTCACCTCAGGCCCCACAGAATTCGCTCGGTGTCCCAAAGGAACCGGCATTCGCTGGGTGTCCCACAGCACCGCGCCTCAGGACGCGCAGATCCGCTGCGTGACGTGAGGGGCGAGTTCCACCTTCCCCTAGTCGTTCCACCTCGGTTTGGGTGGGAAAAGAGAGCTGGAGAGGCCTTCGACCTTGCAAGACGAAAACGGTGAGTAATAATCGGAGGCATTTCGCTAAGCAGACAGTTAGTGGGTTTTCCTCCTCGTTACCGCGCGCGGCCAGTGACACCGCACTCAGGTGCCTTTCGGTCCCGTGGCGATGACTCGCCAACTGCCCGACCCGCTTCCGAGCTACAAAAAGCGACGGGAACCAAGCCG